GAATTTTTTTTTTCCTGAGAATTTTTTTTTGGAATCATATTTTTAAATAAATAATTATATTTATGCTCTACTTTTGTATCGAGCACTATTTTTAAAAAATAATAACTAAAATACTAAGGGACTTTGGATTATTTACCTAACCAGTTCCTTCCTATTTTCTATATATTTTCACATATATATATATATATATATATATATATATATATATATATATATATATATATATTATGTGATTGTCTTTCTTTATATTCGAATGTGTCAATGACTGCGTGGGGAATAGTCTGTGTGTATGTTTGACTGTGTTCGTGCGTTCTTATCTCACTGCGTGTGTATATGTATATTTGTGGATATTTTGGATGTATCCTTGCGTGTGTGTGTGTGTCTGGGTGTGTATCTACGTGGGTGCCGGAGTGTGTGGATGTTTGTGCATCTTTGAATGCGCCCTCTTCTCTTGTTCTTGTAACGGCATTCACCCGGGGTGGGTTGAGCTGGCTCCAATATTGGAGTTTCATGGGAATTTGGAATTCACAAGCGGTCCCCAACCCGCATGTATAGCACATGAGATTTGATTATAGTGGTGAAGGTTTCGTGCAGGACCATCCACACTTTCTGAAGGGCCTATTACAGAGACCTGGTGCACTACGTGCCGCAAGGTCCCCAAACAACACTCCACAGGTTTTGAATTCAGAGTTTTCTTTCTCCTTGACCAGTTGCCATCCATGGATATAGAACCCAGTCTGTCCTGCTAGTTACCCATAGCTGAAGGGAGAAGAAAAGGATTCATACCTTTCCAAAGGATATTAGCACGTAAGTGAATGTAATGGATTCGACTGGAATTCGAACTCGAACTCCTCAATCCAAGCCGCTGTCCATTACTCCACCGTGCCCGGGTAGAGTTGTGTGCGTGTTCGTGCGTGAATGCTTGGCGTGAGTGTACACGTCGCTGTGCGTGTGCGTGCACATGTTTCTGCATCTTTGAATGTGTAAGTGAGTGTGTGCGTGTGTGCTTAGCTTTCTTTGACATGCGCGTGTTAGTGTGTGTATATATGTGTGGGGGCATGTTTGGATGCGCCCATGCACGTATGTGTGTGTGTGTATCTGCGTTTGTCTGTGTCATTTCTTATGCTTATTTGTATATTACAGTGTACGTATGCTTTTGCGTGTACGCATTTGTGAGCGCGTACACGTGTGTGCTTCTTGATTTGGATTTTCAGTACACTGGTCGGTGGGTGCAAAAAAAAAAAGCTTTGCAAATTCAGTCAGCATTTCTTGTTTGACATTTTTTCATGGATGTTTGCAATTTTAAAAAAAAAAAGAGAAGGAAACGTCACCCCCCCCCGTCGTCCCACTTCACTCTCTCTCTCTCTTCCTCTCTACCATTCCCTGTCTTTCTCTTTCTCGTTCTCTCTATTTCCCCCCTCTCTCTCTCCGTCTCTATTTCCCCCCCTCTCTATACCTCCCTCCCTGTCGTCTTTTTACTTCCTTTTCGTCACACACAAGCAACAAAACACATCCTAGGCACAGAAAGCTTGCTCTACAAGATGATGGTATTTCGTCAGCACCCAGATAACACATAATTATAGGCATGAAAGCAATGAACCGCAAAGCTCATATGGATTTGCCGGTCTCGACTATTATTAGGAGGCATCGGCCTTTACTAAGCTTTCTGCCTTTCATGTTATCTTTTTTGTCTCTATTAACTAAGAAGTCTTTCGACAGATGTACACACACACACACACACACACACAGTGGCACTTTTTTTTCTTAAGACAGAATCAGTGTAATGTTGATATCTTCTAAGGTTTATTTGTTGAATAAGGGAGCAATTGCGTAAAAAAAAAATCACTGAATATTTTTGGGAAGGAAAGGAAAATGTGAGTGTAGTCGGGTGGGGACCAGACAATAATCGGAAAGAAATTAAAAACGAAATTAAAATTGAACTTAAGTCGGGGGGGGAAAATGTTTTCTAAAAGGGACAGTATCATTTAAGGATTTGAAAAAAAGAAAGAAACAAACAAACAAAGAAAGAAAGCAAAAGAATTTAAAGAAGAAAAATCAACAAAAAGCAAATAAATAAAGAAAGTAAGGAAGAAGCAAGAAAAAGAAGAAACAAAAAAGAGGAAAAGGAAAGAATGATGTGAAAGAATAAAAGAAGGAAAGAAAAAATTGTATGCTGAAAGGATTAAATAAATAAAGAGAATGTAAAGAAGAAAGAAAGAAATAAAGAAAGAGAAAGAAAGAAAGGAAGGAAGAAAGAAAGAAGCAAGAAAAAAGATAACACAAAAAGAAGCAAATAAAAAGGAGAAACAGAAAGAAAGAAAAAAGAAAGAAAGAAAGCAAGAAAGAAAGAAAAAAACAGACTAAGCGTAAAGAAATATAGAAAGACAAAAAACTTAATAGAAACAAACAAGCAAAGTGAAAAATACAGAAGGCAAACAGAAAGAAAAAGAAAGAAAGAAAGAAAGGAAGAAAGAAAAAAAAAGAACGTTATTGAAAGATAAACTGAAAAGCCAATGAAAAAAGCAAAATATCACAAAATAGTAGAAGCAAGAAAAAAAAATAGTTAAACGGTAAAAAAGAAAGAAAGAAAATGTGAAAAAAAACAAGAAAAAAGAGAGGCAGAAAGAAAGAAAAAAGAACGAAAGCAAAAGAAAAAATCAACAAAACGTAAAACAAAGAAAGTAAAGAAGAAGCAAGAAAAAGAATAAAAAAGAAGAAAAGGAAAGGAAGACTGAAAGAAAGAAAGAATGAAAGAAGGAAAGAAAGAAACGCATGCTGAAAGAAAGGATTAAATAAATAAAGATAATGTAAAGAAGAAAGAAAGAAAGAAAGAAAAAGACTGTTGATTAGAAATATGGTAAGAAGTAATAACAGAAAGGAAAAGAATAAAGAACATCAAAGAAAGAAAGAAAGAAAAAAGAAAGAAAGAAAAAATAAAGAAAGAAAAAATAAAGAGTTTTGATGAAAAACAAGGTAAGAAATAACAGAATGGAAAAGAAGGAACAACAACGTGACAGGAAAAAGTAAAGGAAAAAGAAAGCAACTAAAAGACAAAGAAAGAAAACAAACAAAAGAAAAGAAAAGGTGAAGAGGAAAGAAAAGTGTGTGTGTGAGAGAGAGAGAGGGGGGGAGAGGATGGAAAAGAAGAGAGTGAGGAAAATATCGGCGTCGAAACAGAACGAAAAGGAAGACGATAAAGTGTCAAAAAGAGGAAGCGGCGAATGAAAAAAAATATTTGAAATCTGAAGTCGCGACGCTCTTTAAAGCAAAGAAAAAAATGAAATCGTTTTAGAGATTGGAAGGAAACGATTGGATAAAAGAAACTCGTCTTTCTGTCTGCGTACAATGCGGCAACAATGAAACCTAAATTTCAAATATGATCAGAAGGTGGTTGTCGAACGCTGGCAGAAGAGGTGGCTGATTTAGCGCGGGAAAAAGCGACAGAGGAATTAACACGAAAAGGAAAGCAAAAATGATCAAGAAAGAAAAAGAAGGAGAAATTAATAAAAAATAATAGAAATAAAACAAAAAAAAAGAATGAAGATTGATAAAACCGAAAACGTTGAACTGGGAGAAAAAGCAGACATCTCTGAAAGTGTTTGTAACATGGACAAAGTAAAAAAAAAAATGGCGACTAAGAATCGTATCAAAAATTTCAGGGTTCTAAAAAAATAGAACTATTAAAAATGAAAAAAAAAAATGAAGTGTTTCCCATTGAGCTAAACCTTAAAAATGCTGTTCCCAATGAGCATCTTGTACGTCACTCTTTTCCTTGGTCTTCTTTGCCTTTTCCTCTCTTCAATGACAACACTTCACTGTTAATACTCGACAGCAATTAAAATGTTCCATTTTTGGTTTAAAAAAAAAAAAATTGATCACAAACGTTTGTCGGTTTTACAGCAAGCTAGTTTTAATAATCATTTTCTTCTTATTGGGTCGCTGTTTTTCTCTTGGTTAAAAGAAAAAAAAAATTAAAAAAATCTCGCTTCAACAAGGATTCAAAAAAAAAAAGATAAATTAAAAAAAAAATGACCTCCATCTTTCCCAACCATCTCTTCTAGTGATTTGTTCCCAAGCATTAAACTTGCTTCTTCTAATATATTTTTGTGCTGGTGAAATGTAGAGTAGAAAGAACTTTACCTTTTAAGAAATATTAATATTTGTTTTTGGTTTTCTGTTTTTCGATTTTATTTTAATTCAAACTTTTCTTGTTTCGACAACGTTTTGGGATTTATATTTTTGTCATTCTTTATATGATTATATTCCCATTGTATTTCGTTTTTTATTTATTCCTGCTTCAATTATTGCCTCTATTTTTCTTTCTTTCTTTCTTTCTTTCTTTCTTTCTTTCTTTCTTTCTCATATAATAGTTTTCTTTCTTTCTTTTTTTCTTTCTTTCTTGCTTTCTTTCTGGCTTTCATTCTTTCTTGCTTTCATTCTTTCATTTCTACTCATATTAATGTGCAATCTCTTAATGACGCCCAATAACAATTCTTTTTTTCTTTCTTTTTTCTTTCTTTCTTTCTTTTCTCCTAATTTTAATGTGCAATCTCTTAATGACGCCCAGTAACAATTATTTCTTTCTTTCTTTTTTCTTCCTTTCTTTCTTTCTTTCTTTTTTCTCATTTATTTTAACATACATCTCCCTTAATGTCGCTCATTAACATTTCTTTCTTTCTTTTTTCTTTCTTTTTTCTTATTTATTTTAACATACATCTCCCTTAATGTCGCTCATTAACATTTCTTTCTTTCTTTCTTTCTTTCTTTTTTCTTATTTATTTTAACATACATCTCCCTTAATGTCGCTCATTAACATTTCTTTCTTTCTTTCTTTTTTCTTTCTTTCTTTCTTTGTTTCTTTCTTTTTTCTTATTTATTTTAACATGCATCTCCCTTAATGTCGCTCATTAACATTTCTTTCTTTCTTTCTTTCTTTCTTTCTTTCTTTCTTTCTTTCTTTCTTACTTTTTTCTTATTAATTTTAACATGCATCTCCCTTAATGTCGCTCATTAACATTTCTTTCTTTCTTTCTTTCTTTTTTCTTCCTTTCTTTCTTTCTTTCTTTCTTTCTTTTTTCTCATTTATTTTAACATGCATCTCCCTTAATGTCGCTCATTAACATTTCTTTCTTTCTTTCTTTCTTTTTTCTGCCTTTCTTTCTTTCTTTCTTTTTTCTCATTTATTTTAACATACATCTCCCTTAATGTCGCTCATTAACATTTCTTTCTTTCTTTCTTTCTTTCTTTCTTTCTTTTTTCTTATTAATTTTAACATGCATCTCCCTTAATGTCGCTCATTAACATTTCTTTCTTTCTTTCTTTCTTTTTTCTTCCTTTCTTTCTTTCTTTCTTTCTTTTTTCTCATTTATTTTAACATACATCTCCCTTAATGTCGCTCATTAACATTTCTGTCTTTCTTTCTTTCTTTTTTCTTCCTTTCTTTCTTTCTTTTTTCTCATTTATTTTAACATACATCTCCCTTAATGTCGCTCATTAACATTTCTTCCTTTCTTTCTTTTTTTCTTTCTTTCTTTCTTTTTTCTCATTTATTTTAACATACATCTCCCTTAATGTCGCTCATTAACATTTCTTTCTTTTTTTCTTTCTTTCTTTCTTTTTTTCTTATTTATTTTAACATACATCTCCTTAATGTCGCTCATTAACATTTCTTTCTTTCTTTCTTTTTTTTCCTTTTTTTCTTCCTTTCTTTCTTTCTTTCTTTCTTTTTCTCATTTATTTTAACATACATCTCCTTAATGTCGCTCATTAACTTTTCTTCCTTTCTTTCTTTCTTTTTCTTTCTTTCTTTCTTTTTTCTCATTTATTTTAACATACATCTCCCTTAATGTCGCTCATTAACATTTCTTTCTTTCTTTCTTTTTTCTTTCTTTCTTTCTTTTTTTCTCATTTATTTTAACATACATCTCCCTTAATGTCGCTCATTAACATTTCTTTCTTTTTTCTTTCTTTCTTTTTTCTTATTTATTTTAACATACATCTCCCTTAATGTCGCTCATTAACATTTCTTTCTTTCTTTCTTTCTTTCTTTCTTTCTTTCTACTATACATTCTTCTTCCTTCATTTTTTCCTTCAAGTTGTTGCTTTTTCTTTTCCATTTTATTTCGTATCTTGTTTTTAATCAACACTTTCTTTTTTCTTTCTTTTTTCTTTGTTGTTGTTGCTTTATTCTTTTTCTTTCTGTTATTACTTCTTACCATGTTTTTAATCAACACTCTTTCTTTCTTCTTTACATTCTCTTTATTTATTTAATCCTTTCTTTCACCATGGGTATCTTTCTTTCCTTCTTTCATTCATTCAGTCTTTCTTTTTTTTTTCTTCTTTTTGTTTCTTTTTTTCTTGCTTCTTCCTTACTTTCTTTGTTTATTTGCCTTTTTTTATTTTTCTTCTTTACCTTCTTGTTCTTTCTTTCTTTCACTGTCTTTACTTTCTTTCTTATAGTTTTCTTTCTTTCTTTCTCCATTCTAAACTTCTTTTCTCTTTTACATTTCTATAATTCTTTGTGCTTTTTCTATTACTTTACTTCTCTTCTCTTCACCCTCTCTCTCTCTTTTCTATCTATCTATCTATCTATCTATCTATCTATCTATCCTTTACCTCTTTCTTTCTTTCTTTTTTTTCTTTCTTTCTATCTTCCTTTCTATCTTTCTTTCTATTGATCGATCTTTCTATTCTTTATTTCCTTCTATCTATCTATCTATCTATCTATCTATCTATCTATCTATCTATCCTTTCTTTCTTTTTTCTTTTCTTTCTTCTATCTTTCTTTTACCATTCTAGACTTTTATTTTCTACGTTTTCTTTTTACAATTCAACTAATTTTTCCGTCTTTATTTCTGTGGCCTTTTCTTCTTTTTTCTCTCTTTCTTTCTCTTTTTCTTTCTCTTTTTCTTCTTTCTTTCTTTGTCACAGTTCCTCTTTCCTTCTGTCTTTCTTTTTTTTTATATTGTTATATTTTTTTTATATTTCAGTTTTTTTTTTTTTTGCTTTCAATCTACAAAGAGTGATTAAATATATTTCGACCCAACTCATTTCACAAACTCTGCCCAACTTGCCAAACATCAATTAATTCATTTTTAAATTCATGGTCACTTTTTGGCACCCCCTCCTATTTTTCCTTTTCTTACAAATCTTTCTCCATGTTTCGTCTGCTTTCTTTTGCATTCACCCTCATTCCTTGAATAGTTCGCATCTTTCTTTTACTTTCTTTCTTCTTTTTCATTTTTCAGTCTTCCTCTTTCATTTTATCTTTCCTCTCGTCTCTTTCAATCAACATTTTCTTTTTTATTATTCGTTTCCAAAGTTTTATTCTTTCTGTACTTCATATTCGTATTTTTTTTCAATCTTTTGTTTTCTTCTTCTTCTTCTTCTAGTCTTTCTCTTCTTCCCTTCAATTTCCACGACTTTCGTTTGCAGATTTCTTCTTTCTCCTTTTCTTCGTCTATCAATCTCTCTTTTCTTCCATCTTTTTTCATGTTCCTCGTTATATTTTATTTCGCATTTCTTTTCTTCTTCTTTTTCTTCTTTTCTTTCTTTCTTTCTTTCTTTTCTCTCTTGCCTGTTTCTTTTTTCTTTCTTTCCCTCTTTCTTTCCTCCTTTGCTTTCTTGCCTTCTTTTTCTTTTTTCTTTCGTTCTTTCTTTGCTTTCTTGACTTCTTTTTCTTTTTTCTTTCTTTTCTTTCCTTCTTTGCTTTCTTGCCTTCTTTTTCTTTTTTCTTTCTTTCTTTCCTTTCTTTCTGGCCTTTTCCCCTTTTTCTTTCTTTCTTTATTTCCCTTTTTCTTTCTTTCTTTTCTTTCTTGTCTTCTTTTCCTTTCCTTCTTTCTTTTTCCTTATTTTCTTTTTGCCTTCTCTTTCTTTCTAGCTTTACTTCTTTCTTTTTCCTTTCTTTCCCTTCTTTCTTTAGTTCTTTCCTTTCTTTCTTTCTCCATTCTTTTTTTTCTTATCTCCTTCTTTCTTTCCGTCTTTGTTTCCGTCTTTTCTTCCTTCCTTCTTTCTTTCTTACATTCCCTCGTTCTTTGTTGCCTTCTTTTTCTTTCTTTACTTCTTTTCTTTTTGTCTCCTTTTTTCTTTTCTTCTTTCTTTCTTTCTTTCTCTCTTTCTCTCTTTTTCCTGTCTTTCTTTCCTTAATCCTGTTTTCATTCTTTCTTACATATTTTGTTCTTTCTTACTTTTATTCTTTGTTCCTTACTTTCTTTCTTTTTCCCTTCTTTCTTTATTTCATACATTGTTCCTTCTTTGTTTCATTCTTTCTTTCCTTTTGTTTCTTTCTGTTTTTCTTTCCTTCTTCTTTCTTTCTTTCTTTCTTTCTTTCTTTCTTTCTTTCCTCTTTTCTATCGTTTCCTATCAAATAAACATCATTTAAATTTCACTTATTTTTCAAAGTCCTTCTCTTCCACTTCGCGTCTTACCTCTGTTCTAACACCCGTTCCATTCTCGTTTTTATTCTGAACCGATCATCAGCAGTCTGGCTTTGAACAATTTTCCATTAATCTTATCTTCTCTCAAAAAAAAAAAACCGGCTCCCACCTCCTCTTTTGACTACCCTTTTTCATACTCTTCCCATTCAATTAATACTGTTTTTCTCTTCTTTCTCTGTTTCTATAATTGTCTCTCTTACTTCCCTCCAACATCCACCATTTTAATTTTTGTCCATCGATGTTTCTTGTCTGTGTTTGCTTTTATTTCGTTACAGACTGAAGAATTTGCATACTTTTTGGCGAGTGTCTTTAATAATAATAATAATAATAATAATAATAATAATAATAATAATTATTATTATTATTATTATTATTATTATTATTATTATTACGCACGAAATCCCATCGTTACTTCCTTGAAGAAACCACAGGCCTCTTTTCTTGCAAACAACGTATATTAGTGCCAAACAGTAGTTCGTTTCAGTTTCTCCCCGTCCCTGACGAGCGTAACTGCCGTCACCACACATCCGTCGCGCCCCAACTGAACCACCTCAGCAACACAAATGGAAGGTCAAGGGTTAATGTAGTCGAGATTACAGCAAATTTTACCAACAATAAAGAAACCGTTTCAAGAAGAAACCTTTCCAATGTACATTATCTCCCTGAAATAGGGATGGTAACTGGCTGTGCCTCCATATATACATATATAAATATGGGTGTGTGTGTGTGTGTGTGTGTTGACGCGTATGACGTCTATGTCTGGCAGTAGACGAGTGTTTTGCGAGCGTAAGTAATAAAATAACATCAACAAAACAAAATGAAAATGGCGTTTTGTTTGTTTGCTAGGGGACCGGGGGTGGGGGGTCAAGATGGCGGGTATGGGAAATAGAACATAAAAAAAACAAAACAAAAAAGGTGAGGTTTCAACCGGAAAAGGAAAACAGAATCAGAAAAAAAACACCAATAATTCACACACACACACACACACACACACACACACACACACACACACACACACACACACACTCCTAAAAGCACACCCCCTCACATGTACGCATACACACAGATATCTATCTATCTATCTATCTATCTATCTATCTATCTATCTCTCTCTCTCTCTCTCTATATATATATATATATATATATATATATATATTTCACGATGCTTGACATTACATGTGAATGATAACTCTAACATTTTTAGGCATTTAAAACAACATGCCTGGCTGGCCACTTACACAATCCTGGAAAATCCTCGTTGAAAATACAACTATACTTAAACATGAAAACAATAAATAAAAACTAAAAATTCTTGAAGCTATATACATAAAACAGTTGAAACCTAACCTGAACAAAATAAACAATGAAATCTCCACAAATATTCTTAAATGCCTATGATTTATAACAAAGCCATTGGTTTATACCAACGGCCTCCCATACTTAATTATTCTCGTTTTCACTCTCGCGTGGTAATGTGTGATGTCATGAGATGCGGTGCGATTTTCGCTTCCAGCGTCTCATATGCACGAGTTTGTCGTTGCTTGGAAATCCTCCATGTAAACATAAACAGATTATCATTATTGTGCTGTCCGTGTATTGTTTAATATGTTGAAATGTAATTGTCATCTTTGATAATGGCTTATGTAAGCCGAAAGCTTAGATAGGATTAAAAATATGTATCATTATTGTGATTTTTTTTCTTCTTTTAATGATAATGTTATTAAGCTTATCAGACGATATGAAAAGAATTTACATAAAACTTGTCAATATTATTTAATGAAACATGCATCAATATATATATATATATATATATATATATAAATATATAAATATATATATATATATATATATATATATATATATATATGTGTGTGTGTGTGTATGTTGAGAGGCAGATGTATTCGTAACAGATGGAGAAAAGTTCAAAGGGTTATCTTCGAAATAGATAGTGAACAAAGTTCAAAATCTTATCGCAAAGACTAACTTAAAGTTTCACGTAGCGACCGCTCGTCAAGGTCCGATGGAGAAGGTTTATCTGACACTGATGGGTGGTTCAAATATGTAACCAGAAGTTAGTCGAAAGATAAGTACTACGAACACCTTCTTCATCTGTTAACTATTGTAGGACTAGATTCTTTACCGGGCATTTTACGAAAGTTTCTTCGCCTTTAAATGTGTTAAAAATTCGTGTAGTTTAACGCATTCAGTTACGCGTTATATATATATATATATATATATATATATATATATATATATATATATATATATATATATATATAAACAGATTTCTAGTACTGCCAAATCTAATCAGACATTTGAGGAATAAAAATATGGGATCATATTAAACATAAGATACAACAATATCCACGTTTAAAACATAAAATATAAGGCGCCTTTCGATCGACACATTTTCAAACATAATCGTCGGTAATCTAAAACGGAGTACTAACAAGAAAATTTTTTATTAATACCGTAATAAAACAAGATGGTAAGGGGTGGGGGTGAATTATTTTACCTCAAATCATGTAACCGTTCCCCAAAATAAGGCCAACTTAAACTTCATCTCCCGTTGTACGCAGAGGGCCGGCCTACGTATGTTGATAATAACAGACTCCAAAATGTCGAGGTGGAGTCTGTTTCTCGCCCTGTGCAATACCGAAAAGAAATGGGGAGAATACTCAGTCCTATAAACACCAGAATTTAATAGATGTTCACCGATAGCAGAGGCATGAGTCTGTGAACACCCGGATGTCACAAACTCATGCCTGCGCACGCAGCCCGGGACATGTTGAGCGATTCTAACCTCAAGCCTCTGGATAGTTTTGCCCACATAGTCGAGCCCGCATCGATATTTAAATTGATAAATAACTAAATTATTATGGTAGGTAGGAAAAACATCCTTACGGCAAGTGGGGAAGGCCCTCCTGGTAGTAAATATGTTCCTGAATGTAACGGCATATATTGCTCTCTCTTTTGTGAATCAGTTTTAATATATTAAATTATTAGGATCTTCTTGGATTACTTACCCACGGATTTTTACCTCTCTCTTCCTGTACACATATATATATATATATATATATATATATATATACAGGAAGAGAGAGAGAGAGAGAGAGAGAGAGAGAGAGAGTGAGAGAGAGAGGTAAAAATCCGTGGGTAAGTAATCCAAGTAGGTCCTAGTAATTTAATATATTAAAACTGATCCACAAAAGAGAGCTCAATATATTTATTATAGAACATATAAATGAATTACATAAAAATGAAACTCAATTGCAGCCCTTTTTGATGGTCATTTCGCCATTTCGAATCCGCCCCCCAACCAGACCTCCCCACCCCCGGGGTGTAATTCCCTGGCGCTTGTCAATGCTAAAACGTTTGTTAAAAAATGAATTAATATTTTTTTTTAACATTTTAGCATTTTTAACAAACGTTTTGGTATTGACAAGCCCCAGGTAGATTATCCCGGGGGTGGGGGGAGAGCAAAATTGTCATCAAAATGGGATACAATTGAGTTTCATTTTTATGTAATTCATATATATATATATATATATATATATATATATATATATATATATGATAAAATATTAATGGTCAGATGGTAAGAGTTGAATTAGACCAGGAAACCAGTAATATTAAAAAGTACTCGATACTCATATAAAAAGATAAAAATTTAACGTAGAGATATTAAGTATAGAACATTAGGATATCAGCCGATTCCGCTACCTTTGTTTCCACCTTTCTGTCTCTTCAGGCGATGTTGGTAAATTGATTTCCTAACTCTTTATTTTTCTTAATGAAAGAAAATTATGAACGTTGCATTTTTTAAAAACCTTACAACAATATCTTACGACAATCATAGCATCTGCAACCTTTGTCAACAAGAAAAATTAGCTATAATAACATTTCCAGGCCAAAAAAAAAATCCTTTTAAATAAGAGGTCAGAAATTATGAGCCGTTGTATACATGCTAAAAAGTTCCTTTTGAGTACATATGAAATGGGATGAAAAGAATTATATTTATTTTATTTAATCCCCCCACCCCAATACATTTCCAATACACTTGATTTCCCCTCCTCTTCGAACACGCATCCCATTTTTCAGTGAAAGCAATTTTTGTGCTAACGCGTGCCTCTACCAGTTCACACACACAGACACACACACACACACACACACACACACACACACACACACACACACACACACACACACACACATATATATATATATATATATATATATATATATATAATGTGTGCACACATCAATTATATGATATGCACTTCAAGATACCATCTCCTGTGGTATCTTGAATTGTATATATGCTTGCCGAATTACCCGCGCCTTGCTGCGTGTCAAACATTTCTTGTAAGAAAATGATGATTGATTTTAAATCATTTTTATAACTTGTTGAGAAAAATAATGCATTTCAATATTACTCAATGATCTTGCACATTTGACCTCCATCTTCTGGTTTTCTCCTATATTTTGGATAGGAGTCATTCCCTTGTTCAAATTTAAATTTAATTTAAATCAAAGGGGGAGAATTTTCAGTGGGCGGTTTGTACAAAAACAGCTTGATGTCACCCATTCGATATGTATTTTATGTAATAATTGATTGAATGAATCCATGATCAGATTGCAACATTGATATGTCAGTTGAATTGTCGCAATAAATATGTGTTGGAAGGCACTACCCACTGATTGGTGATGTTTTTTATTCAACTTGACGTCCATATTGTCTAATTTTGGTTTTGGTCACTATCTTCTGGATTTTTCCTTCTATAGGATAGGTGTCATGTTTTTGTAGAGATTTAAATTTAATTTAAATCAAAGAGAAACAAATTTGTTCAAAATAATCAAAAAAAAAATATACTTATCCAAGTACCCTGGGTAATGTAGTTTCAGAATATATATAGTTATCTCAAAAACGTTAG